AGGTGTGCTAGCGAATGCAATTCGTCTTACCCTCCACGCGCTTATAAAGCCTGTTTTTCTGCTGGCGCCGCCTACACACAAGTGATCGCTTACGTATTTGCAGTACAAGATTTACATTTTATCTAGAAGTAGTGGTTTTTCCTTCAGTTCAGCTCTTTCCATTTGATAAAATATGCAAATTCTCTTAGTTTATTTCACCAGTGTACATTAAACTTTAAAAGAGTTTTTTGGGCGACCATTAAAATCTGAACTATTTGCGATTTGCGTTTTTGGCTCAAAAGGACGTTACCTCGAATGGGCCATTAGTCATGAAACGGTATTTTGCGTCATCCACTATAAACGGCGAACCACTTTTCAAACTGTTGCCACCAAATATTACCGCCCTCTTTTACTTTAAAAGAAATTACGTAATGAAGAATTTGCATTTATATATGTAGGTTCCCCGCATTGTGAAAAAACAGTGATACTTAGGGTCATCAAATTTTGAATAACGTAGTCCTCCACCCGAACATAGGCCCGAATTATGAATTTCGAATTTTATATATCATATTTTGCAAAACTTTAGTGAATTTTCGATTAATAAATTTAAAGTTTTCAAAGCGAGCAGTGGCGACACTGTGCGGAATAAAAGATTTTTATCTCAGTGCGAGACTGGACATTGGAAATTCTAAAGATATGTTGCTTTTATATACTTGTGATTTTATTTATGAATAGAATGTTATGTGGCGTAAGGACAAAGGACATGCTATTTAATTAATAAATTTAACACATAAAACATTAAAATAAAAGAACAAAAAAGTTTTGTAAGGCATTTTAACATGATATTTTACCAGAAACCATGATATTCATGCCTTTTACTAAGAAAATATGAAAACATTCATATGATGAATTGAGAAAAGATTGAAAAAAAATATATAACAATGTATACTAACACTTAACGTTGCATTCTAATTGGTGTGATTCTTAAAAAATATCAACTTAGGGATAAATTCCTAATAGAGAAAGTACTTAATCAGTAATAAACCCATAACACCGTGCGCTCAATGTCAATGTGAACTGAGCCATCGGGAATCAGTCTTGAAAAATCGGTCTGTTCTACCTAAGATTTGAATACGAAGCTTTTCAGTTGCTTAGCAACGGCCCCGCAAAGAGGCATTGTTGAATGCTTTTAATTCCTTACGACTTTTCACTTATTTCTCATCAGTTTTTTTGTAACTTCATACAAATGTTAAGATTAAGGAAAAAAAAAACTCGATTAAGGAAAAAAAAAAATATGTATACTTGGAAAAATCCGTTGAATCTCTCCTAGAAACGAAAGCACAATCTGGCATCATTCCGATCAAAGACAAAGATTAACAATAAATCTCATTAATTTTCATGGTGAACAGTGGCGTATCTAGGGAAATATCTGTTCCCGAGAGCAGCATAAAGGGAGCGTCAATGAAATGTTTTCCGTTCTTGACAAATAAACAGGAAGAGGCGCAAAATTTTCAGTTGTCCTCGGACGCTGAAAACCATAGTTACGACTCTGATGGTGAGAAGTTTGTGACTGCTGGTATGTACCATTTCCTTGTGAGAGAGTTTTAAATTATTTTAAATTAAAGCTCAGTAATATATTACAAAAATTAACTTAGACAGTCATTAAAGTTTGACGGAAAAGGCTATTTAATTTTAAGTGAATAACAATCCCCGCTCCAATAGAATGTTGTTTCGGAGTAGTAAAAGATTTTGTTGTTGCGAAGTAGTAAAACGTTTTCTTTCGTCCCTTAAGAGAATAACCTGTTCGTAATTTTTTTAAATTAAAAAACGTAAGATTTTTCATTATTTTCTTGAATCATATTAAAAAACGCCCAAATGTTTTTTTTTTTCCTGAAAATCTGAAAGGCGCTGGCTCAACTTAAAAGAAGAATTTGCCGAAAATGTATTAGTAATTGACGAAATAACACATTTCCTAAAACCTAGTCGCGTTTTTACGATGTAAAATCTGTGTTGATGTACGTAGAGCAGAAGACTAGCATCTTTATACCCTGGTGGTCATGGAGTTTTGTGTTGCCGATAGGGTGAAAGGCTAAGGAAAATGCATGGTTACTTTTGTTACTTTCAAAATTTTAAAGTAAATACAAGCCCATTTATTTCCGTTAATCCTCCAGGAATTAAGAATTATGGTAAGAGATGTAAAGACTGTGCTTTAGATGGGATGCTTTCTAAAAGAAATTAAAGTACTATTCCTTTTCGGGGGTCCGTTGGCGATGATTAAATGTTTTTCCGCAAATTAAACACCCAACACAAAATAAAGCAAAAATCTGAAATCTAGATCCTAATCTTCAATTATTAAGTTATTGAGGAGGCATAAAATTTTTAACAGCCAAATAAACTCAGACAATTACGATTCGAGTTGTTGTCGAGCCGTGCCTTCCTGCCGTTTTTGTGCCATTTTGCGCTTCTCCACAGACGCTCTGTTGTTTGGGCACGACATCAAATTACTGGATGAACAAAGTGAAATTCATAGTTCACTTACAGGGAAATTTTCGAAGCCGGCATATCGCAGTTTATCTGATTTATATGCCTTCCAGTAATCTGTGAAAATAGTTGTTCCTTTTCTAACATGTTCCTTAATGTCCCAATAAAGTTCTCGTCAATCGATCAAGAACTAAAAAGCATTCATTGATTCTTTGCACAATCCGCCGAAACCCACTGTTGTGGAAAAACCGCCCAACATTTGCTCTTTCTCCTAGAAAAAAGGCTTTCGTCTATTTCGAACCTTGTCACTTCCCCAACTTTTACTGTTGACCAGGCTATTAAAGCTACTGTGAAAACCTCCAACATGTAACTGTTCCAATCAATAGTCGTATTATGGTTCATTTAAGCTGTATTTCGCAAAATTCAGTTGATGCATCTCTTGGCACCAGAAATATATGAACCTCAAGATTGTGAGGAAAGGGATTTTGGAACCTACAAACCACTGTTCGTAATCCTTTTCTCTCATTGCAAGATCCTTTCTTGCAACGCCATTTCACGGCGTTTTGTTCAAATCTCACTTTCATTTCATGATCTTTCGGGCACAACTGTTTATTTTTGATGATGTCTTTTGTTTGAAATAAATCAGTTGCAGACCTTTCATCCATAGGCAATTTCCAAATCGTGAAATCTATGGCGAGTTGCGGGGGGGGGATTCCTTTAAACAAACATTTATTTCTTGCGAAAAACTCCCAGGTGTTATTTAATAACGGCTAGGTTATTTAATAAGTTAGGTTAATAGGTTAGGTTATTTAATAACGGCAAAGCTTCAAGGGCTATCTTCCTAAGGGGAAGGATGCCTTCGTGGAGGACTTTCTAAGGGAAACTGGCTCGCATACACGTTACACATGAAGAAAACACCCATGCAGCCAGCCCGTTCGCTGGATTCGAACCTTGAACCGAACTACCAGTGTTCAGCGACTTTACCGCTCGGCCGCTGGTGGGCCAACTCCCAGGCGAAAGAGAAATTAAATTCCTGAATTGTGGTAAATGAACTTGTGAATTCTGGGAAATCGAACTCGTGAATTGGGTTAGGTTTACCACAATTAATTAAGAATCACTGGCGTCAATAATATTAGTTTTAGCGATTTTTTTATGGCCACAGGAAATAGAGTAGTACTGAAATTAATTCATATTTACGCTACATATGGAAAAAAACATCAAAATACTATGTTGGTAGGTCATTCAGCTGGATTTTGATTCGGGTCGAATTGAAAGTGTTTAACGGTATTATCCACTCAGCATCTAGTAAGCGCACTCTTATATTTAAGAGTTTTTCTATGTGTTACAATTTTGCAGGTATATATGCTGTCTTACTAAAATGAGGTTACAGACAGAAATATTGCAACAAAAGCATCGCGCAAGAAATCGCCGTGAGAAAAAGAATGCAACAGTAAAACATCTCGTATAAATTGTGGTGGGAAAAATAAAGAAGGGAGGAAACATCGTAGTTCTAAAATATCGTGGTCTAAAACATAGTAGTAAAACATAATGCTGTTAAAAACTTCGCACGTTTTATAACATAGTCGTACAAAACATCAAGTAAAGCACCTGTTAATCCTCGCATGATGATAAGATCGCAGATATGCGTCTTCTCACTAAAAATGTTAACTGAATTTCCGAGTAATGATTTGTGAAAAGAAAAATCAAGTAATATTTTATCTCTATAATTCATATTTTTGTATTAAAAAATAAATAAATTTTTACTGAAAAAGCAAGAAGAAAATTTTAAGCCTTAAAAGTCTTGAAATTAGTAAAAATTATTGCTACATATAGCAAGTTAATAAAATTTTAAACATATGTAGCTTCCTCTTTGAAATCTTTTTCATACTGTACTTTTTCATAAAAATCTAATACGTTTTTATAAAAGAGGTTATTCCTCTTTGAAATCTTTTTCATACTGTACTTTTTCATAAAAATCTAATACGTTTTTATAAAAGAGGTTATTCCTCTTTGAAATCTTTTTCATAAAAATCTAATACGTTTTTATAAAAGAGGTTAATGATACGGTGTGATTTTTAATAGTTAGAAATATAAGTTTAAAATTCTAAAATAAATTAATACCTAACATTAACTGTTACTAAATTTCAGACTTTGAATGCCTAAATTTCCTTCTTGCTTTGTCACTAAATTTATTTTTTTTATTTATTTGTCAAATGCCATTTACATTGGCCGTTAGGCCATTAATCTCCTTGTTTGCCAATAGCGCTGAAACCTACAAGGAAAATCTGTCAGTGCTTCACACTCGTCTAAAGGTTCCTCCGTCATTGGCCGTCCATTGTTACATAAAACACGCAACGGCAAATCAGCCAGTACAATGCGAAAAAAATAATTCTGTAGACAGTCATGTCCCATCAATAGTCTAAAAGATGCAACCGCAACTGTTTGTGGGTGGTCAGAAACAAAAACTGGGTTTGTTTAGAAAACACTCCAAGGCTTGTCATCACAAGCCCGAGTTAAATCTCTACAAAGTCTTAACAAAGTTACAAAGTCTTTTGATGTGTTAGTGATGTTAGAAGCTTAATAGAATGAAGGCTTGCACTCGTTTTTGGATTTTGGAGAACTGTAGCCCCCTTTTTCCCAAGCATATCAGCGATCTCATTCCCATAAATACCGCAGTCTGAAGGTACCCATTGAAAAGATATCTTGTGGGAAAGTTTTTTTATGACTTTCTGGCACTGTTGAACACATATGTTCTTACACTCTCGGGAAGAGATGGCCTGTATTGCTGAAGTCGAATCAGACAGTACAACAGCCCTCCTGAACGAGCTCTGTCTCAATGATAATTGTTGGAGATCCACATGAATGGCTTTCAGTTCTCCGTCAAAGTGCGTGGAGTAAGCCCCTACAGGTATATAAAAACTGAAAAGCTTGCTAAAACCTCCAGTTCCAGTCTCTTGGATCCTATCGGTCAGAGAGCCATTCGTGTATACATGCATCCATTCCATTGCCGGAAAACGTTGCTCAGTTGTTTCCAAAGCTATAGCTCTTATTTGCTCTGGACTCATTTCCTTCTTATCTACTTTCATTTACAGATCCAACAGTACAGCAAGGAAGGTATAATCCAAAAGATCCAAAGGCATGCAAAAACAGCAGTGCCAGTTTCAATGTTCTTATATGATTGTATTGTTCTAGGCGAGAGACACACTGCAGAAAGCCATTTTGTGTTTTCCGATTTCGTTGTTTATTATAATTATAATTCCTCCAATGAGGGTTACTTGGTAGTCGTATAAGTCTCTGGAAAAGGATGAAAGCATTTTTCTGAATCAGGTTTGTCATTTGTTGGTTTGTCGATACCAACTGCATTGCCAGAATGTGAGTCGTTTTAACCGCTCCGGTTATAATGCGCAATGCCTGATTTTGGAATACCTCCAAAAGTTGTATCACATCTCGCGTAGCCGAGATCACCATCCAAAGGAATAATTTAGTATTGGTCGAATATATATTTTATACGTCGAGTTGAGAGTCTCTCTACCAGAACATTTTCCATTTAACATCAGCTAAGCGTTTAAGGCTAGGTAATCTACGCTCCGCCTTAGCAAATACATGCCCTGCATGCTTTCTTCAGCTTAAGTGCTTGTCAAAAATATAGCCAAGATAGGTGGCACAATCCGTCTGCTTCAAAACTGACTTCTCATACATTAGTAACATACAGAGAACACTTTACTCCTAAAGTGTTCTCTGTTGAGAGAAAAAAACTGACAAGTAACCTTCCCCTGATTTCCGCTCATATTATTAGTAGAACATTACTCCTCTAGTCTCTGGAGCGCAGAGTTTAAGATTCGATTTAAACCATCTTGATCCTTTTTGTTAGCTCTGGCCCATACGACAAGATCATCAGAAAAAGGGCAGTATTCACGATCCCATTTAATTCCAAGATGTCTGGTAGATCGTTAATTAAAATGTTAAAGAGAATAGGGCTAATAACTGTGCCCTGAGGCAAATCCGTTTCAACTTGTTTATATTTTGAAGTGCTGGTGCCATAGAGTAGCGCAAAAACGTTGGGTCAAGAAATGTTTGACCCAAAGGAACATTTTTCCGCCAATACCGAATGTCTGGAGTTTTTGAACAGCCTTTAACCTCCAAACGTTATCATACACTGCTTGGAAATCTATGTAAACAGCCAATATCGAATTTCGTTCATCAAGTGCACTTTAATTGACTGACTGAAGAATACGACTTGTTGACTTGTAGAATGGTAATTTTTAAATCTCGCTTGTTTGGAAGATATTATGCCATTGGTTTCCAAGTACCACTTGAGACGACAAACAACCATTCTCTCTATGCTTTGCCAATGCTCATCTCACGGTTTAAAAACTTAGGTGGCTAGGGAAAGATAGTCTGAAGTTTCAAGCAAAAGTTTTCCCACTTCACCTTCTTAAAATTCCACCTCTTTCTCAATTTACTAAAGGGTAAGAGAATTGTAATCCAAAACTGTCGTAATCATATGATGTCCAGAAACAGGATCATAAATGACTTTTCTTCTTGACTCTCCAGCTAAATCAACAGTGTCTAAAATCAGGTCGGGATTTGTACCATTTCCATTATAATGAATTAGTTCCAGTCTAGTTGAGTTAATTAGGTCCTCCATTATCCTCCCGGAATGGTTCCTCCATTATCCTCCCGGAATGGTTAGAATCATTATAATTCCATCGGGGCGCTATGAGCATTAAAATCTCCACAGAGGGTAGTTTTATTAAGGAAGGAAAGACCCTGGAAATTTAATTTATTATTGTTCGGTGGGCTATAACAAACATAAATAGTGAAATGGGTTTTTTGTTTCCAAACGTCGATTTTGACCAACTCAACACAATTATGAGAGTGTAAGTCACTGATAATATTGAATTTGAACGTCAAGGTCTTGTTAGTACTAACCAAGGTTCCACTAGCGATTCTTCTTGATTTAGGCAAGAGCTGTAAAGAGTAGTTATCAAACGAGTAGTATTTCATAGTCCCTAGACAAATTTGCCTCAAAAATAAGAAATACATCTATTTTTCGATAAATTAATTCAGTCATAAGCTGTGTTTTCTTTGTTGGGAAAAACCATCCGCATTCCATTGGACAACCACTAAGCGCTGTTTGTCCTGAAAAGGACAGTTTGGAAGATCTCTAGGATCCATCAACAAGCGGCAAAGCTGTAGCAGATTTAGCGTAACCCAGGGTGCTACACTACTACACTACCTGCTACACTACACTCCTTGCCACTAAAAATGTATTAATTAATACAAAATATGAAATATAGGTAATAAAGAGGTAAAAATATTATTTGCTTCTCTTTGTGCTTACAAATCTATTATACGAGTGTTCACTTAATTTTTCTGTAAATATTTTATAGTCAGAAAGCGCGTACTTGTATGTCATTTTCACTCGATACATTGTAGTTGCTTTATTTTTTATCACTATACTTTGTATGATGATATTTTAAGACTGCACCACTTTATATTTTCCACTATGTTTTTTTACTGCGATATTTTATACTGCGTTTCTCACACAATATTTTGCGCGACAACATTTTATTACTCTTTTGTTGTTTTCTCCGCGATATTTCCGTCGGCGATATCGCGGACACTTAAAATGAAGATATGTCTTTACAAGATATATAAAAAAAAAGTTATCTAAACAGTCTCATTCTTCTTATTATTATTTGTTCGATTGATATATAAGTATTTCTATAGAAGCTAATCTGGAAAAACAAACAAGATAAGGAAATGCCAGTACGAAGAATTAAAAAGAGAAATATGACTATTATCTGCAATCTTGGTAGAAAGTTGAAATGGTATAAAGCTTTCTAATATTCAAACACAAAACACGGAAGAACTTCGTAAAACAAACGTATAACTATTTTGTATTATTGTTTTAAATTTTCATGTGCATGGTGTATTTTTGCCACATAGCAGGAAAAAGAGCTTCAGCGATTCTTTCTATCTCTTTTTTTAGCCCAAAGAAGCTTTAGCTCAGACGGGTTATTAATTTCGTTTTGGCATTTTCCTTTGGTTCACTATATAAGACTGAATCACTTTTCAAATTGTTTCCACCAGGAATTAGAGCCCTGTATTATATTATACGTATATTCAAAACTACTCCAAACTTAAGGTGTTTTGTTTTTTGGCCTAACTTTAAAAAGCTGTTATTGTAGTTAGTTATAAAGAATTCTCCCACTTAGTATGCAGGCGGGAAAAATATAATGAATGCCATAATTTTTTTCCATGATTTAATAAAAATGCACAGGATCTTGCAACTTTTAAGAAAACGTAGTATATTTTATCTATTATTTTAAAATTAATAAACAAGTATTATTAACTTTTTAGACGTTATAAATGCATACAGTAATAAAATCTTCTCTTCTAAATTAAAGTTATTTGTCACGTCCAGTTTTTTAAGGCTCTTTTTCAAATTTAAAACGGGTATTTCTTCTCTAAGAATTGCGTCTTTGCAGTCAGTGTCAACATAACTACTTCATTACTACTCACTTCCAGTTGCAGGGAGAAAAGTTCTATCAACTAGACTTTCTCTTCTGTGAACGCAGACACAGAAATCTTCTCGCAGATGCTTCCACAGATAAGGAAATTGATGGCATACACAATCGTCAAGCGAGAAATGAATTTATTAGATTAGCCCCAATAAAAAAACGCTTTTGAAAAAAAATAATTATCAATTTTTAAAACTATATTGCATTTTTGAGTATTGTACTATTGATGAAAACTAGAACCGTTTCTCGGAAAAGCCAGTTTCGCCAGTACATCTATAAAGTATTTTCTCCCTCCTTTCCGTATGCCTTTGTAGTGTTCTTGGAAATCTACTCGACGCGTATTCAAGAGATCTACGGTTCAAGTTCCAACAAGAGTATTGAAAATTTTTCACATCTCTTGCTTCAGAAAAACTTAATGATTCTACACGTCAAGAGCAACCCAGAGAAATATATTATAAAAGTTTTTGCACTATGTAGATCATCAATAAACAACAATAAATTCGAACATTTATCATGACGAAATTATTTGAAGGAACTTGCTAATGACTTACTAAAGGAGTATCTTCTTGATAGATCAGAGAATACAGGTATGCCGCGCAGTATTAGACCTAATTCTAAAAGGATTCTAAATTTACTAGATGATAGATCGGCTAAACTTCCGAAGAAAAATTTCTAACTTGTCGTCGATGTGAAGAATGTTCAAAGAAATCTAAACGAAACCCTTTTTTGTGAAAAATCTGATAAATCGTTGTGCAAAATCCGTTCATTCATTATACAGTGGAACTGTTTACAAAAAAAAAAAAAAAAAAAAAAAGTGAGAGAAATTATTTCAGTGAATTTAAAAAAAAAAAAAAGTATTTTGAGCTTAACCTGGACAATTAAATAAATCTGCCAACGGAATATAATTACTCAATTGTGAAAGTTTAAGCAATTTTTACTCAAAATTTTCCAATAAAAACTAGGTTAAAAATGTTTATTTTATTGTTGTTTAAACACCGTCCTACAAGAAAAATATCTGTAATTGTTATGTATTAAATATGTTTCAGAATGGTAGAAAATGAATGAATGTTGAAAAAGGAATACAATATCAAAGATAATTTAAAATTCGTTTTTTTCGCTTTGAAAATTGACTTCTAAATCAAGTCATACATATTGATAACTTAAAAAGTGTTCAAATAACCTGTTTAAGTATAATTTGTTGTTTAAAATGCCTATATCTTACTGAGAAGCTAGCGCTAATATTAGGATCAAACTGACTGTGTGCGTAGTGTCATAAAAAAGGGTGCGTGTGCTGAAGGTTCAACCATTTGACCAACTATTGAACCAACAATTGAACCGAGGCCAACTTATACTTTAAGTTGGCCTTGGTTCATCCGTTCGATATTTCGAAAACTGCTCCAGAACTCTTTTGTTTGGTACTCTGTGTGAAAGGTGGTAGTGACAGGTGGCAAGAAACTAGACAACAAAAAACGCATTCCACATTTGTGAGAAAAATAGTTGACAGGACAAGACTGAACGCGAATCCTCATGTTTACAAAGAGAAAAGAATTTCTCACCAG